ACCAACCAACCAACCAACCAACCAACCAACCCAACCAACCAACCAACCAACCAACCAGCCGAACGAACGACCGACCGACCAGCCAACAACCAGCCAAACCAACGAGCCAGCCAACCAAGTCAAATTGAGCCCCAGTCATGGCAACCATGTGTGTCAGAGGTGCGCTGTGCTCTACCAGGGTTTCAAAGACCTGATCACCGGGCCTTTCTCCTGAGGTACCTCTGGGTGGCTTGGAACTGCTAGTTTTGGGGTGCTTGCACCATCCAAGGACTCCACCAACTCAAGTCAGTGAGAACACAGAAGGGTGGCAGCCTCCTAGGTGTTGAGTAGGGTGTGTGGGGGGCATGGCGGGCAGTGGGAGAGGGCAGGCACCGTTGGTCAGACACACCACATGCCACTCAGCAGCAGAGATGGCCTTCAGAGCTCCTGCAGCCTCAATCAGGCTGTTCGACGGAGTGGATTTTTGTCTTTTCCAATATTTTCCATTTTAGGCTGACTTCAAAATGTTAATATCTCGGCTTTTGCCCATGGCTATTACACAGGAATAGCTAGAGAGAGAACGAAAGGGGTGGGGGTGGGGCTGTAGGCAGTGAGCTCTGCACAGGGCGCGAGGGAGGAAAGGGCCCTGGGCCCTTGTGAGGCAGGATGAAGTATGAGTATGCACATGTATGCACCGTGCATATGTGCGAGTATGTGCGCCTGGGTGTGCACACAGGAACTCAATGTGTGCGTGCGTGCGTGCATATATATGTGTGTGGACATGTGTGCACGTGTGCATGGATACTGGATCGTACTCGTCCCATGGGGCCTTCCTGCTTCCATAGTCCCTGATCCTCACTGTGAAGCAATTCCTTTGCAGTCTGCCCCGGGAGTGACTTAGTGGTGACTGGCGGCAGTTTGGGAACATGAGTTTTTCTGGCTTGTCACAGCCTTTGATGTCTCACGTTCCAACCTACTTTATTTCTGCTTCACTACCACCCTCTCAGTCATGAGCACTATGACGTTAGATGGCTCCGTGGCACCCTTACCTGCGTAAAGTACTCTTCTAATAAACAGTCCACCCAAGGCTCGGCGACCTCCATCGGGCGGACCTCATTAGAGATATCACAGCACTTGATCAAAATCATCTTCAACTGCAAGAAGGGAGATAGGTGTCAGCCCCGGCTGTACAGTGTGACCCTTTGCTGCTGCTTCTGCTCGCCTGGGAGGAGGCAGTCCTGGGCGGCTAGCAGTGTGCCTTGCCATCGGCAGTGGGACTTGAGCATCCCCACTGGGGCCCTCAGCCTCCCCCGAGAGGATGGGAGCACCCTCCATCCCCAAAGCGTCAGAGAGACTTTTCTGGAGGGGACTGGAACAGCTTGGAGAAGCCTGCTCTGTGCAGAGAACTTTTAAAATACAAAATGTAAATTGTAAAGTAAAAAGAAAAATTATTGACTACTGGGGATACACACAAACCAGAATGAAAAAGCATCGTTAGGATGTGAATGAGGGAGGTAGGAGTGGAGACCCAAAGCCCATCTGTAGGCAATTGGACATCCCCTCACAGAAGGGTCACAGGAAGGGATGAGCCAGCCATGGTGCAGTAGAGCACTGATGAAACATACAACATTCCTCTAGGTCTTTCATGCTTCCTCCCCTCCACTATCATGACCCCAGTTCTACCTTACAGACCTGGTAGACTGGAGCATGTACACTGGTACAGGAAAGAGCTCTCGACACTCAGAGTCCAGGGAAGATACCCCCCCACACACCTGAACAGTAATGGGAGTAGTGATACCATGAGGGTAAGGGGAAGGTGGGGCAGAAAGGGGGAACCGGTTGCAATGATCGAGGTATAACACCTCCCCACCAAAGGGTGACAAACAACTGGAAACGTGGGTGAAGGGAGACAGCAGGTGGTGTAAGATATAAAAATAATAGTAATTTATAATTTATCAAGGGGTCACAAGGGTGGGAGGGTAGGGGAGGGAGGGCAAAAAGAGGAGCTGATACCAAGGGCTCAAGTAGAAAGAAAATGTTTTGAAACGGATGATAGCAACATATGTACAAATGTGCTAGACACAATTGATGTATGGATTGTTATGGGATCTGTAAGCGCCCCAATAAAATGATTCTATCAAAAAAAAGAAAGGAAGGAAGGAAGCACCTCATTCGGAGGCCCGGCTTGAACAGAGTAAGAAGGGAAATGCAGTGGGTATGGCTGTGGGAGGACCTCGAGTGACGTCACAGAGGTACAGGGCAGGTGGGGGGCCAGCTTTGATGCCGATGACACTGCTGACACTGACCTAGTGGCTGCCCACCAGGAGGGACTCCCCTTTCGTCCGCCCCTCCAGCCTGGGGTGAGGAAACTACAGAGTTGCCAAAGGTGGCCTGTTGGCTTCTGCCCACTGGTCCCTAGCCCGTGCCTCCCTGTCTGGGGGCTCTGCTAGGTGCTCTGGCTCTAGCTGCCATGCTGGTCGAGGCTCCACCTCCTGCCCTGCCTCCTGCAGAGAGCGCAGCTTCTTCTCAGGAGAGCAAAGGCCAGACGGAGGTGGAGGAGTGGGCAGAGGCATGCAGGGAGACTTATCAGGTGAGGGGCCCTGCCTGGGGACCTTTGCTGTAAGAGCCGTGGCCTGGGAAATGGTACCTGGAAATCTCTTTCCAACACTGGGTCTCAAGTTCTGGCTTCTCCATCTCTGATCTCACTGGGTGGTCTGCCTCTGATTTAACAACCCCCGCCCCCAAAGAGGTCCAGCGATCCTACTCACCAAGATCATGTGCTCCTCATTGCTGTAGTCAAAACTCTCCATTTTGTCTTTGAAAGAATCCATGATTTCTGCATGCCTTGCCATGTCGGTGGCCAAGATCAGGGTAATTATCCCCTGAAAAGTGGGAGAGCCATGCGTTGACACCCCAGCCACCCTCCCCCAGTTGAGCACCTGCTGTGCAGGGAGCCATCGGCACCCATCACTGCATTTGGCTTCACACCGACTTTTGTCCTCGTGCCTGGGAATCACTGTAGCAAGTTCACAGATAAGGAAAGTGGGACTTGAGAAGGTGGAGGGACCGGCCTAGGGGCCCCCGGGAATGGAAGGCTGGGGGCACACACCTGGGCTTGAGGAGAGCGATGACCCCAAGCGGCTCGAGAACCTGTGTGTATCGTGCCTCAGACAGAGGGGGCAGCCATGTGCACAGGTGGCGGGGACCCATGGTTTGTAGTTGGCAGCTGTTGAGGCGTGGGGACTTGCACAGGTGAAAGGAAAGGCTGCTTCTCCCTACACCAGGTGTGGTTCGGCGGCACATTGGCCCATTGTGATCCATCGAGTTCTCCCTGGCTGGTGCTCAGGAGTGGATTGAGTTCTCCCTGGCTGGTGCTCAGGAGTGGATCGCCAGGCCTTTCAGCTCTGCTGAAACTTGTTCAGCACCCAAGCAACACGAAAGCCCCACTTTCACGTTGACCACATCACCGCTGACATCCGGTGGCTCACGTGACGTGCATTGGCAGGGGACCTGTAGGGAAGGTGAGGCTTCTACCCGGACCCACAAGCTCTCAGCAGACCGGTATAGCGTGAAATCCAGTAGACTTGAGAGCAGGATACGTAACACGCTTTTCCTAGATTTCATGGTCTAGATGCAGGGTTTGCCCGCCCCCCCAGATGTGGGTGGATGTCAATGACTGCTTTCCCAAGAGCATCATTTCTATGATGTAATCTCTGGGTCAGGAGCAGTAAATGCTGGACCATTCATCACAAGATCAACGGTTCAAAGCCACCAGTCAGAGGGAGAACGATGAGGCAGGTCTGCTTCTTTAAAGAAGCTGTTCGACTCTCTCCTGTCGGGTCGTGGTGAGTCGGCATTGACTTGGTGGTGGTGGTGGTGGTGGTAGTGGGTAATCTCTATGTGGTTACATGTACACATAAGCCTTGTGAATGGTGAGTCTGTCTGCTCTCTTAAAGGTTTACAGCTTCAAAAACCCGACATCGTATGTACTGGAATCAACTCAACAGCAGTGCTTTTCATATGTAAAGTGCCCTGGTGGTGCAGTGGGTTAAGTGCTGGTCTGCCAACCACAAGCTCAGCAGTTCAAACCCATCCGCCTCTCTAGGGAAGAAAGACGAGGCTGTCTGCTTCCTTAAAGGATCAGGTCTAGTTTGTCCTACAGGGTCACTGAGTCACAGTCAACCTGACGGCAGTGGGTTTAGGTAGTCTATATGTGGTTATGTGTATACATATTGCTTGAGAATGATCAACATTGGAATAGATTTCATATTTGTAACATTTAATTCTATTCACAAGTGTATAAATAGTGATGAAATGAGTTTAAAAAACAGAAATAAAAACAAAACAAAACAGAAATAGCTCATTACCTTGTTAACTGAATATTGATTTACGAGAAGGCGCATAATTCAAAGCCATGGCCATCCATTTATGTCAATGCACCTCCATCTACTCTTCCGTCATCCATGCAACATTAACCTGCTATCCCTCCTTCCCTCCCTCCCTCCTCCTACCCACCCATCCTTCTATCTATCCATCCAGTCACTCCACATTTAGAGTATCTCTTTGCCAGGTATGTCCCACTTTTCCAAAAAACAGAATGAATAAAAAACAAAAGCAACAAATACAAAATCCCAATCCGTCAACATACATCATCCTACATGTATTTGGGGGTGGCAGAGGTGGCGGGGGTCACCGGCGTTTTGAATCATGCAATTGGCCTGTCAAGGTGTCATGTAGTCTTAGGGAAGAATTTATTCTGTCATCTCCCAAAATAATTTAAAAAGCAAACCATTGATAAAAATAAAAAAGGAAACAACTGATTTCACCCTGAAAAAAGAAGCCTTATCGAAAAGTTAGTCAAAGGTTTGAAGCAGGACAGGCCCTGGCTGGCACCCCTTGGCTGGGAGGAGGGCGTCTTTTTGTATGTAAGTGCCTGCTCTTTAAACCAGGCCCCCCTGCTCCTTCCTGGCCACTGCTCTGACCCCCTGTTGGGGTGAGCCTCTGCATGAAGAGGTGTGCAACTTGCTCTGCTCCTTCGGGTCCTCGTCCTGGGGGAGGCCCTTGCTGGCCAGCCACTAGGGGTGGCACTGGCCAATGGCAGGCTCACTTTATGATCTGCCCCTTCACCTACTTCAGACAAAGATTCATTACAGCTTATCGCAACAACTGGTGCTTGCAGGTGCTTCCAAACCCGTGTAGGAGGGCCCAGAAGATCTAGAGATAAAGGCTAGAGAATGTCCCTGGGCCTGGGGATTCCAGGAGGACCGGAGCAAGCGCTGGTTTAACTCGGAACTTCCTGGAAGTGTGGGCAAGCTGGGAAACAATGGCTGATGTGGCTGCTGCTCTCTGATAAAGGGAAGCTTATCAGATCTCCAGAGGGCGACGGGTGGCGCTTTCCTGGAACTGGCTTCTAAGATATGTTATGGGAGGGGGGGGCGCATTTGAAGGAGAGTCATTAAGGCACAGAGCGGATGAGACTGTCAGCTGGGCAATGGCAGAACACGGCTGCTCAAAGAGCTTGGAGACGGCTCCTGGTCTGACTTTGCTAGCGCTACCATCACACAAGAAGTGGAGATCCCCGTGGTGCAGCAGTAAAGGTCCGGGCTGCTACCTGAAAGGTCAGCGGTTCAAACCCGCTAACTGTTCCTCGGGAGAAAGGATGACTGCTTCCGCAGAGACTGGCAGCCTCAGAAACACTGGGGGAGGGTTCTCATTGTCCTGTAGGGTCACAGCGAGCCAGCATCACCTTGAGCGCAGGCGGAGGGACCATAAAAAATAGCCACATCCCGGTGGCTTAAAGCCATAGCAATCTACCCTCTCACAGGTCTGGAGGCTAGAAACCCCAAATCCAAGCCTCTGCAGCGCGGATCCCTCATGGAGGCTCCAAGGGAAAAGGGGATCGGCTCCCTGCCCCCTCCAGCTTCTGATGGCTGCGGGTTTCGGGGCTTGGAGGTGCATCCCCGATCTACCTCCATCTTCCCCTGGTCTTCTCTGTGCATCTGTGTCTTCTTCCTTTCCAGCTCTCATCCCTTGGCTTTAGGGACCACCTGGGTAATCCTGGATGGCTGCCTCCTCTCGGGATCCTCCTCACACTGTCTCTGCAAAGTCATCCTTTCCTCCCCACACAAGGTCACATGGAGAAGTTCTGGGGGCTCAGGAGATGGACAGGCCTTTTGGGGGGAACCGCCACTCAAACTCGTCACACTCTTCGAAGGGATTGCTTCAATCTCTTCCTGCCTCTAGAACGGGGTGGACCACTGAACTGAATTGGGGCCATGCTCTGCAGAATGGGGAGGGGACGACATACTTTTATGGTAAGCTGGGAGAGCTTGCTGCAGGGCAGGTGGAAGCTGTGTGGAAGTTTCTTCCTCTCCGTCTGTGAACTTGTCCCCCAGGATGAAGGACGCTTCCTTATCTGCCGCAGACCACAAGCAAGCTGGCCCACAAGGGGGCCGGGGTCAGAGGCTCGGCTTAGGGAGCAGTGGGCGGAGCTCTGCTGGGATGGAGGCTGTCGATGATGTCTTCCCAGCCACATGCACAGTGTGCCCCGCAGGGCGGGTTACTGACCCTTAGAAACCTTCGTGTCCAAGGATGCAGATAGGGTTTCCCATGAAGGGTGTTGTGAGCTGGGTGGGAAGGGCATGCCCACACGACCCTGTATGCATCTGAGTTAGTTAATTGTGCCAGCCTGGCCGATAATCACATGTGGGGCTAATTGAAAGGCGGAGGGATAAATGGGTGATGAGCCTCGCCTTTCTAGTTCTCGGGTCTCTTGTTTTGTGATGGTTGCACCGGGTGCAGCTGCCTTAGCAGTTCCCTGCTTCAGCTTGCAAGATTGACTTCCTACAAGACATCCCCAAGGAGAAGCCGCATGGATCTATCCCGATGCAGCCCTGGGTGCTGGAGCAGCTGTGTGGAGACCACTGCTAGTGCTGAGATGCTTATTCGTTTACTGACTCAGCTTTCCTCCTGCAGTCGGCATCATTGCCTCTATTTTGTGAGGTGGAGGACTTTGTGGACTGGTGTTGAGTTAATGGGTTAATGTTGGACTTGTGGGCTTGGGCAGCATTGGGTTGGGATGTTTTCATGATGCACCTTTTCTTTACATAAAACTCTCTCTTATATATGAGTTGCTGTGGATTTGTTTCTCCAAAGTACCTAGACTAATACAGCATCTCAGAGGGGACACCTCTCCTTGGGGCTCCACTTCTCGTGAGGTTCTACTCTGTGATCATATGCATTGTCCTCTCCCACCCCCAAGTGCCCTTCCCTACTTGGCCTTCCGGCCAGAGAGCCCTTGCCACCCCCACCTCCAACACACACACACACACACACACACACACACACACACACACACACACACACCTGTCTGATCTGCTTGAAGCCGTCTGGCTGTACACTGGAGAGGATGTTGCACTCCGGCTGGGCGAGGATCTGGAAGGCCACGGCGCAGTGATGGTTCTCCAGGGGCGAGATGTCATTGTAGCGCACGGCCAGCTCTGTGCGTGCATTGATCTGGTACCTGGAGAGGAAAGAGAGACCCAAGGGAGGCCATGGAGACCCAGGCTTCTGCGCTTAGTTGTCCTGCGTGGTATGGCAGCAACTGTAATGTACAAGTGGCGCCCATCGCTTACAAGACCGAAGAGACGGATGTGGACTGCACCCACCGGAAACTCACTTCTCATATGCACCCTCCCTCCAAAAGCCAGACTGTCCTTTAAAAGGGAAGGAAGAGCGGGAGAAGGAATCATGCATGCACACACGTGTTGTTGTATCCAGGATGGTCCAAATCATGGCAGATGGCCGCAGTCATCAGGGTCAGGATGTCCATTTGGGAAAATTTCTCCTGGATGAGCAAACATCGTTCAGGTTTCTGTCCTCTTTACTCTTGTGGCAGAGTGGAGTCAGGAGGGGGTTGGAGTTGGTGGGCAGTGAGGGAAAGGGGTGTGTGGGCAGAATGAAGCCTCTTCCAGGCATGGCAGGCCTCCCCGTCTGTGGGAGAAACCTGTCTGTTCTCTGGGGTGGCTGAGCAGGTGCCCACCTGCTCATTGCATTGTAGGAGGGGCCTGCAGCAGGTGCCTTCCCTGGTGCATGGTGGGATTGCTGGGGAGTAGGGACAGTGAGCTGGTGTTGATGGGAGGCAGCAGGGAGCCCACACCAAGACCCACCTGGAGGCCACAGAGCCAGATCATGCTGTACATCATCTGGGTCACACAGAAGCAGTGCCGGAAGTTATGGAAAGGGTTGTTCCTATAGTTGTCGTGGACGCAGAGCTGTGGAAGAGGTGGTGCTCACCTGCCTGGGCCTAGGCTGCCCTCCACCCTTTCCCTGGGGTCCCACTGGGACTGACTGTCTCAAGGATCCCTGCCACATCCCCATCTGAACCTGTGACCAGGGGCATTCCTGGGCTTGCCAAAGGTCCGGGGATGGTGGCCCAGGAAGGCCACATGTAGTACCAAAAGGCAGGTGTAGGGAAAACCTTCCATGGTTTCCTCCCAGGCAGAGGTGTGCCTGGGAGGAGGGAAAGGAGCCACGTGGGACGTGGGGCTGGGCAGGTGGGGCAGGAAACCTCTTTAATAAGTGGTTACTATTCAGCCGTAATATTTCATTCTAAAAAGGGCTCTGCTGCTATACACACATGTACACACACATGCATGTGTATGTGTGCATGCACACATGTACACATCCTTGTACATATATGCACACACACACTCCTTGCTGACTTAGAATGCTTTGCTTCACTTGTCCCTCCGGGTCTCTCTCTCTTTCTCTCTCATCCGGGCAGAAGCCCAGGAGGTAGGGAACGGACTGGAGGAAGGGTAGTTCAGGACTGAGAGATGCTCACTGGAAGCTCCCCTAGGAACACCCTCTCCATGTGCAAGCAGTCCGGGTCCTCGGGAAGCCACCTCCAGGAGAGAAGGGGGCCTGACACTTACCAACCACCTCTTCAGGGTGATGGGGTTGATGTTGAAATCTCTGACCAGGCCGAGGTCATGGTACATGTGCTCCAAGCAGCTCAGCATCTGTGGTCAAGGGGAGGGACCGTCAACAGTGGGTGGACTCAGAGCCCCGCCTCCCCCTGCTCTCCCCTCAGGCTTGGGAAGATCACCACAAGGCCACGCCCTTCACAGGATGTCTTCCTTCCTAACAGGCAGTCGGGCAGCGTGACTTGGGAGAAGACCCTGGTTATTGGCGGCTTTAACATCACCCAGGAGGGCAATGAGGGCTTGAAGCAGCAGCCGAGATCTTTTGGGATCAGAAAGAACTGGATCGGAAGTCAACGAGAATTCTTTGCAAGAAGGGACAATTCCATGACCACGTCAAAGTGATTTCTACTGATTTCGACACGTGAAAACCACGGCCCGTCTGTCCTTATGCCACATGGCAGAGATGCTGGAAGTTATGACACTGATACATCACATCCCACCTGGGCCACCAGGAGGAGGGGTCTCAGTGGAACGCCCAGACTAACACAAGCTATGAAGAAAGGCCTAGAGATCTGCTTTAACAAATACACACACACACACACACACACACACACACACACACACACACACATATATGTATAATTATATATATTTTAAAATTTATTACCAGTTGTGAATTAACACATCTACCCTATTATTCCCTAGTTCAAGTACATCAGCGGTATTGTGCAATGGCTTCTACAATCAGTTTCCACACATTCTTTTCCTTCCTGGACTCCTTGACAGTGTCTCTCTGCTTTTGAAAACTTCATGGATCGGAATGCAACGCCGCCTGATAACACGCTGGAAGATGGACTCCAGGCCAGAAGTCACTCATGCACAGCAAGGGCCCCGAGCAGACCAACGCGGGCGCCACACGGGGCAGTGTTTCCGTTCTGTTGTACGGTGGGGGTGGGGGCTTCAAAAAGTTCGTGGAAAAAATCCCATCCTCTTTCCGTTCCAATTCTCCATGGCGCTCTGCAGCCCGCTGGGACACGGAGCTGCCATGAATCGTTGCTGGCTCAAGGACAACGGACTGTAACAAACATGGGAAAACAGTCTCCGAGGCCCACGGGCAGCACGTAAGTCTCCAGGCCTGAGGCAGCTGCCTGCGCTGCTGTTCCTAGCCGCTGGCCCCAGAGACCCTGAGTGGATACAGTCGAAGGCTCCCCAGGGTTTGAGACCAGGGACCACAAGATGACGTTTGCCACCCAGGATGCTCAGTTCTGCCTCTCAGAGGGAGGGCCCACAGCACTTTGTACGGATGTCTTGCCTTCTTCACTGGGGCGTCTTGAAGGTGATCTGGTGCCCGCTCCTGAGCTGTAGTCACGAAACTCTGATATTTATACTAGCAGTCTGCGCTCAAGCTGAAACAGGCTTTGTTTTTAGCCCCAAGGAGGCTTACTGTCATGACTGAGATCTATTTAAATGTAGCTCAGAGCTTTGCGGGCTAATTAAGCTAGAAGGAAGAAAAAGATGAAATGCTTTTAAAAAAAATAGCCCAGCATGACCTTGCCAAGAGCGGACGTTGCTTTTTGTGTACGTGTGTGTGGGAAAAGCAAGTCTCGGGGAGCCCAGGGGGCCGAAAAATGGGGACTCGTGAGTGTCTCTGAGCAGTGCCACCTGGCCCGGGGTCAGTCTGCCTGCATCCTGCCTTCCAATGACCCCCAGCTCCCTGGGGGAGCGCCTGAGGCAGAGGGCCTCGGAGTGGACCTTGGAACCTAGCTCCCTGGCTGCTTTGCTCACGGTGCAACCTGCTCTTCACAGAAGGACGTGCCACGTGGAAGCCATCCTTACTTGTTAAATGGTATTCGAGCTGGAATCGCTGCAGTGAGGCGCTGGGCTTTGGGGGACCCAACCCTATAATCAAGGCCTCGATGGCATGCCTATCTATGAGAGCAGTGACGCCCCCCCCCCCACCAGGTACTGCAAAGAACCCAGCGGAGAAACGAACAGCACCCCAGACACAGACCAGGGCGCTCTAACCACCCACTGCCTTCCTCCAGCGCCGTGTGCCGGCACACGTGCATAATGTCCCGATAGCAGGCTCGGGGAGCAGTGGCACTGACAGGGGGGCTCCCCACAGAGTGACAGGAGTCCGTCCAGAAGGACTTGGGCAAGAGGCTAGGAGGGGCTGGCTCCCGGACCTGCAGCCCAGGCTGTGCCTGGCCACCCCTACTCCACCCACCAGCCCCACCCAGCTGTATGGGTCATTGGCAGGCTTAGATAGAAGGTTTCGGGTACAGCAGCTGGCCCCTCCACTATTTGGGACCCCAAACCCTGTTATGGGTTGAGTTGTGTTTCCTAAAAAAAGATTTGCTGAAGTCCTGACCTTAGTACATCGGAAGGAGAGTTTGTTTGGAAATAGGGCCTTGGAAGGTCTTATCGGGCTAACCAGATCCCTCGGGAGTAGGGAGGGTCCCTGATCCCTTCTGAGTGGGGCCTTATCCAAAGAGACAGGAGGAGAGAGGCGCGTACAGGGAGAAGGCTCGGTGTGAGATCCTGGAAGCGATGGTGGGAGCTGTCCCTGCTGCTGGGGCTTGTCCAACGGAGAGGGGCTGGGGCAGCCTGCCTGCGTCTCTTCCTGGTCAATCGCTGAAAGAGGGCCTTCGGCTTTGGGGTGTTGCAAACAGCCAGGCCAAGGCTCCGATGAAGGGCCTTTTACTGTCTTTGAGATAACTTGCTAACTGCTGTCCGGTACGTCCTTGACGCATACAGCTCCCGAGCACAGTGGTTAGAAAGGCTGCCCAGGCCTGTGCCAGGCCATGGTGGGTGGTGGATCAGACCCTTGTGGCCTGTAGGGTCTCACCGGCTGCTTTTCACCAGTAGAGAGCCAGGCCTTTCTTCTTGCTCCATCTTAGCCTGGGGGCTCTACTGAAACCGACTCAGCGTGTTAGCAACCCAGACCCGCCTCCACTGACAGGCAGGCGGGTGGTGGCATGTAAGGTACACTGGCCGGGAATCAAACTTGGGTCTCCTGGCTGGGAGGCTGCAATGCTACCATGGAATCACCACTGCTCCATTGTAGAGAATTCGATAGAAACACCCACAGCGTTCCCTCTTAGTGGTGTCTCAGCTAAAGGAAATTTGAGAGTCTTGCAGCAGAAATTGGCTCACCATTCCTTCAGCGGGTGCACGTTCTCCTGGACCTGGACTGTGTACGTCTGAGCTAAACGCTGGGGCTAACAATATTACACACACACACACACACACACACACACACACACACACACACACACACGGTGGGCTGGAGAGGGTGAATTTATGGTTGGGCTGCTAACCACAGCTGCTCCGTTGAAAGATGACACATTCTGCTCTGGTGGAGGGTCACGACCTCAGGGGCAGTGGTGCCCTGTTCTGTAGGGTTCTAGGAGCCGGCCCTGAGTCTATGGTGACAAGTTTGGCTTTGAACAGCCCAGCCTTCCCAGGCAGCTTCTGGGGGTGATGTGATTAAAGCCAATAGCCGCCCAGGATGCTCCCTGCTTACCTCGTTGGGCTCCCAGAGCCAGACATCAAAGGTGGGCTTCCGGAGTGCGTCGACGGTCTCTGGGGAGAGCAGGTACTAGACAGGAGAGAGAGAGAGCTTAGACTCAGCCCATGGGAACCTGTGGGCTTTTGTCTGTGGGACAAAGGCTGGTGACCTTGGACACGTGCCGGGATGTTTCTTCTACTTCCCCTTTGCTTCCCTTTGAAAGATACCCATGCCAGACCACAGCCTAGATTCTCTAAGAACTCTAGCAAAGTGACCCTTCAGGACAGGGGGGAACTGCCCCTGTGGGTTTCTGTGATGGTCACTCTTGACAGGAGTAGAAAGCCCTGTCTTTTCTCCTCGGAACAGCCGGTGGTTTCAAACTGCTGACCTTTTGGATCACAACCCAGTGAGTAACCTCTCTGCCACCGAGGCGCCCCTAAGCTGGACAGAGCACATTTTAATCTGTCTATTCATCTGTTGATGGGCACTTGGGTGGCTTCCCCTCAGCTTAGCTTAAAAGCAGATTCAAGCTTGGTTGGGCCACAGGTTCCCAAGCCCTTGTCTAGATGGGCCCAACTCCCCAGGCTGCTCCCTCAGTTATTTGAAAAGCACCCCTCCCCTGCCCCCCAGGGCACAGCCACTTTAAGAAAGGCTGGTTCTCTGACTGTTGAGAAATGTCTTGTGTGCCAAGACCAACACTCTTCATACTAACATCATACATCGATCACTCGGAGACGGATGATCCAGCGAAGCAGGCATTCGCAGGTGTGTCGAAGATGTGTAGTTATTTCAATAAAACCATTAACAAGGCTGCAGTGGGGGTGGGAGTGCTGGCAGCCCAGGGTGGGGTGGGAGCTGTGTCTGTAGACCTGTGACAGTCCGGTGGACTATGAGGGTGGGTAGGGTGGGTGGCCGGGCGTGGAAGCTGGGGTCTGGGTTTGTGGAAGGGGCTGCTCAATTGCTTCAGGGCCAGAGTATCAGTCTTACCTTGGGATAAGGTGGAACATCTCGTCGGGGTGTCAGCCTCTTGTGGTTGTCCAGGAAACTGTATTTACAGGGGCAGTTGGTCCTGAAGAGAAAAGTAAAGAGAAGTTCTGGCCCCAGTGCTTCAAACTTCTCTCTCTCTCTCTCCCCATCATGGTAGATGATACATGGCATCCGACATTTCAACCATTTGGATGAGTATAACTGGGTGACATGAATAACTCACCATGTTGTGCAAACATCACCACCCCACAATTTCAAAAGCTTCCCACCACCCGAAATAAAACCCAGGTCCCCTTCCTTCCGCTGCATGTAACCGCTGTGCACCTTGGTCTCTCTGCAGTCTCCTAGTGCAAGTGTGGGAAACAGAGAAGTGATTCCCCAGGATGTCCACCCATAATATAAGCCAAACCTAAGGTGCTGTTTGTAAACACATGGCCACTGACTACACACTTGGAGGTCAACTGCTTAAAGATTGTCTGAAGGTTGTCAACCATCTAGGACAATCAGACCCTAGAGCAGCGGTTCTCAACCTGTGGGTCTCGACCCCTTTGGGAGTCGAACGACCCTTTCACAGGGGTTGCCTAAGACCATCGGAAAACACATATTTCCGATGGTCTTAGGAACGGAGACACCGTTCCTCTATCTATCTCCTGGCAGGTCCGCCCACATGCAGATATGGCCACCTACGAGTACCCGGTGTGAAGACTGCTACCCATGCTATACCATGCTTCAAGACAAAATTTCATTTATTTGTCATTAGAAATAAATATTTCACAATATAGAATTATATAATGTTTTTGTGATTAATCCCTATGCTTTAATGATGTTCAATTTGTTACAATGAAAATACATCTTGCATATCAGATATGTACATGGTGATTCATAACAGTAGCAAAATTACAGTTATGAAGTAGAAACAAAAATAACTTTATGGTTGGGGGGTCACCACCACGTGAGGAACTGAATGAAAGGGTCTCGGCATTAGGAAGGTTGAGAACCCACCCTAAGTAGAGCCCCCTCCCTTCTGATAAGGATAATGGATTGTTCCCCTGAAGCAGAACCCAAAGACACTGAGTCCAGCCAACTCAGGACGACCAAGGTTAGGCTCCATCTGACTCTAGAGCTCACCTGTCTGGTTCCGTGTATGCCCCTAGCGCCTTCCCTTCCTATTGTGTGCATGCCCCCAGCTCGTCCCCTCCTGTTACGTGTATGCCCATTGTACAACCCCTTCCTGTTACACATGTATTTACCTGTAATTGGGGGACTGGCACACCCTATGAGTGTGTCTAAGCCCTGGTTGGAAACATATTCACTCTCTCTGTGTGGATCTGGCTCCGGAAGTCAGGAGGGAGTCAGAGGTGAGCACTTGCATGCTTTATCTTGTCCGATGTCTCTTGAATTTGACCCCTCAATTACACAACTGCCCCTTGGACCCGTTCGATTATGGAGGCTGGCACGCCACACCTAAGCTTTTCAGACAACTGAGGTTGTACAGTGTGTGCCTTATTCTGTCTCTCAACACAGTGTTTTCCAGGTTCATCTGCATTGTAGCATGCGACAGAATCTGACCTCTCCTGGTGGCTAAGCCATATCCCACTGTGTGGACATGGCACATTTGTAATTCCAGGCACACCAGGGTTATGGAGAGAGGGGAGTCCACCCTGGCTTCTTAGACCAACAGGCTGATGGGCAGTGCTGGGCAGCATGGTGGGACATCAGTGCGTCAGATGCAGGAGAAGGAAGGCACTGCTATTGATCTATACAGCAAGATTTGCACAGAGACCAATTGAATACAATCTTGGAAGAGTCAGAAGGAAATCCCGATCCTTGAAGGCTGTCAATCTCATCTAGCCTCAGCTAGTGGCAGCAGGTTTGGTTTGGGGGGTTTCTCTTACTCTGGGGAATTTGTCCTGAGACACACACATACGCAAAGCGCTCTCAGCGCTCTCTGCACAGAGATAGTGACTGCATTACCTGTTGCTGCAAAAACCCTAACGAGACTCAGCCCAGATGGCTCCAAAGAGCACACCGTTCCCACCATGCAGCACATCAACCCCACACCAAGGTAACTCTGGGTATTATGAGCAGCAAGTGAATTTACAGAACAAAAGGGAAATAAATAAGAACTCAGCACTCAGCATGCCCGCAGAGAACAAGCATCGCAAGTGGATGCACACGGAATGCACCAACCACAGGGGCCAAAGACCGCCCTGCAGGTGAGGACTGCGTGGGGATCATGGCCTTCTGGAGACATGTCGGGCTGCTCACTGGTTCCAGAGCAACATCCTCTTTGTCCTCAGTGTAGGCGGTGATACAGAGATCAAGTTGTTTTAAAGTAGGTACCGTATATACTTGAGGATAAGCTGACCCGAATATCAGCCGAGGCACCTAATTTTACCATAAAATAGGTGCTGAAAAACTCGGCTTCAACTCAAGTATATATGGTCCCTATACTTCTAACAAGGTTTTCATCACCTTATTCTGACAACCTTATTCTAAGTTAGGTATCAATTAAAAAAACAACAACTTGAAAAAGGTGTTTTGATCTCTTTAGAGTATTGGAGAGCGAGGATGTTCCTTGAGGACTCGGGTGTGCCTGACTCAAGCCATGGCGTCCTCCATCGCACCGTGTGCTGTGGCAGTTGGGCAGTGAATATGCACACCGAAGGAAATCAGATGCATGTGCATTGCGGTGCTGGAGCAGAATACGGAAAGCACCATGACCGCTAAAAGGACCAACCGGTCTGTCCTGGAAGAAGCATGGCCACAGCGCTCCTTGGAGGCAAGGATGGCGAGACTTCTTACGTGCGTTGGACATGTGGTCAGGGGAGACCCGTCCCTGGAGAAGGACATCATGTTTGGTGAAGGAGAGGGGCAGTGACAAAGAGGAAGGCCCTCAAGGCTGTCCCCGGGGCTGCACCAGTGGCCTCAGGCAGCGGCATGGCTGTGAGGTGGCGCAGGACCCTGCAGCGCTTCTTTCTGCTGTGCACAGGCTGACGCGACGGCACCGAACAACAACAACATGCTTAGAAGAGAGCCCTGGTGTTGTAGTGGTTACACACTGGGCTGCTAACTGCAAGGTCAGCAGTTCAAATTTACCAGCGGCTCCGCGGGAGAAAGACCAGGCTTTTGAAGCCCATAAAGAGTTACAGTCTTGGAAACCCACGGAGGAAGTTCCACCCTGTCCTAGAGGGTTGCTATGAGTCAGCATCCACTCGATGGCAGTGGGTTTCGTTTTTGGAGTTTATTTTTTTAATATTTCGAACAGTATCTGGAAGGTTTGCATCGGGGGTACCATGAACTCAGCTGCGGTCCCCTTGTTGACCTTCCCTCCACACCGGTGGGTTCTGCAAGTTTACCATCAGCCCACATGACATGGGTCTCCTGCGGGAGGAAGGAGCGCTTGGTGGAGTCTCCTTGGCGCTGCTGTTCTTATCCCCAACCCGCTCCCTCCTGACCTCCCCAGAGGTGCTTCAGCCCCATGCGACGCAGCAGGGATGCCGACACACATGCAGCAAAGGATAACAAGGCGAGTGGCCGATGGAGAAGGACGTCCGCCGTCACCTGGTAACGCAGAAACCCCCTCTGTACACTTCAGAGCAGTGGGGACCCTGGGCTGTGGGGTAATGATATGCAGCGTGATCATGTCTGCCTTTACCTGCTTCCAGGAAGAACGTGTAGGTGTCTCTGGGGGATGCACACGGCTAAGCACTCCGCTTCCAAGCCACGGGCTGGAGGTCCGTGTCCTCCCCAGGTGCCTTGGAAGACAGGCTGGGCTATCTACGGCCCTAAAACCGTGAGGGTGCCATGCGTTGGTGTAGTGTTTGGGTACGAACATACACACACTTGTGGTCTATGCAACTGCAGTTCCCAGGAGGGTCACTCCAGCTTTCTCGAAAGGACACGGTGGCGCCATGTTGGAAGCCAGCTGTTTTCCTGAGACTTCAGCCTGGAAGTCACAGGGAGCCTGTTTGGTGCCCCAGGACCGTGGTGAAGCCTTTCAGCCCAGGCTGCCTCCTGGTGCCCTCGCCCTCTGTACTCTGTTGCCACGGGAACAGGCACTCGCCCCTCCCACTTTCCAGCCGGCACCAGAGCCCTTCATTCTCACTGCATTTGGAGCAGATTTCTGCTTTCCTTACCCGAAGCCCAGTCTGTTCGGGGCCATTAGTTTGGGATGGAAGCTGAGACTGCAGACCCCAGAGGGCATCACCATCATTGACCTCAAGGTTACAGTGGTCTCTGTGCTCCAGGGGCACCACACGGGGGTTCAGGCATGGAGTAGCCTGGCCCCTGCCCTATCAGTGGGCATACGTAAACATCATGAGGGAGGGCAGCCCCTTGCAGCGGGGCTGTGCATCTGAGGACAATCTGACTGCTGGCCCCGAAAGGCAAGTTCTCACCCACTGGGTTCTGGGGTCCCGCTGTGCTGTGTATGTGTGGGATGTGTGTGTGTGCCGGGATGCCTGGGGCACAGCTGGGCTCTGTCTGCCTGGCTCCTTGTCCCTCTCTGTGTCCCCGAGCTGGCTGACCCCCTGGGAAAAGGTATCTCCATACACACATTTCTGCCCCCACAAGCACATGAGACTGCAGCTGAGCAAGTCGGCCGTGGGGACTGAATTTCTCAGTCCCCCAACACCATCAAAGCAGGTTCCTGGTATCAATAGGGTCAGAAGTGCCGACCGCCCAAACGTCTCGTTGGTCTCGACCTGAACTTGGTTTTACAGAGAGCAAAGGGGAGCACTGCTGGTGTGGGGCTGGGGGCTGGGGTTATGACCGGGGCCAGGGGTGGTGGGTGATGCCGGGGTGTGACCAGAGCCCAGGGCGTGGTTTTCTCTAATCACGGGAGTGGCTTTCCTGTGTGGGACAAGGAGGCACCTTTGCCATCCTGTCCTTTGGGGGAATTCAAAACCTCCGGGATGGGGAGTTGACCTTGCTCCAGAAACCTAGGAGGCCCCAGGGCACCTGCCCTTTGGTTCTGGTGCTAGGAGCTCTGGTCAGCTGGGAGCGCCAGTCATGGCCTGGTGAGGGCCCCTGGCAGCAGACAGCTGGCCATCAAGCCCTTACTCAGGGTTCATTCCTACACGCCTGTAGCCAGGTCCCTGCCTTACGCAGCCACGGGAGGCCATGCGAGGGAGCCCCTGTGGTCCTGAGCTTTACCACGCATCCTGCCACCCTACTGTCACGGCCTATTGGCTGCCCTCCTGGCCATAACTGCTGGCCAGAATCCACGGCGAAGTCCAGCATGGAGCAGATGGGGCCTGGCTAACTGCAGTTTCTCATCTGGGAAGAAAGGCCAGCTGCAGGATGGAGCTGGCAGCCCGAGGACGAGGCTGAGCTTCAAACTGAGTTACGAAGGTCCAAGGCCGAGAGTGTGGGCAGCCACGACCAGGGGTCTTTGCGGCCCAGCCTCCTTCTGGCTGCCCAGCCGGGACTCAGGCTGGCACCTGTACAAGCACAGGACCCTTGCCCCTTTGAGTCTCCTGACATGGGGGTGACAAAGATGAATTACTCATTCGTAATTTTCTATGGTCCCAAACTCCTTTGCTCCAAATCAAGTACGCTGAGACATCTCTAAATTCAAAGTGGCCACAAAGCAGTGTGACTGTATGTGGCATAGGGACCGCCAGACCTCGATCATAAAGCACCGTTTACGGTGAGCCTTGCCCACATCTGGCTGTCCCATGCAGCCACCACAGGGCAGGCCAGTGCTGCTGAACTCTCAGCGGGAACCACGCTTGTAAGCAGGCTCCCCTTCCTCCCAGCTGCCGCGCTCCTCCTTCTCCTCCAGGCTCGCCTTGAGCTTATCGAATCTGGAGGTGATGTTCCGTCTGCTCAGGGACCCCAGCCCATCACGGACACTTGCACAGGCTGCTGTTCTGCGCACTGGTTCTCACTGAACCCTGCTGTGTGCCAAGGAGAGCCCCGAGGCTGCTGGGGCTTCGTAGTACGGCACTGTGTGTGTGTGTGTGTGTGTGTGTGGTGGTGGGGGGGCGCTATTTAGAGTCACTTGGTTTCTCTAACGATGGGGATGAAGAAAAAGCCAGGATATCAAGCCAGCATGACCTCCACAGAGCACTCAGCATGGCGCCTGCATGCAGAAGCGCTCCACCACCGGCATCCTCGCCACCACCACCTCCATCGTCACTCTACCATCACCCACCCTCACCATCTTACCGCATCACCACCATCACCATGGCCACGACCACCACCACCACCACCACCACCACCACCACCACCACCACCACCACCACTATCACCTCTACCACCACCACCACCACCATCCTAGCATCACCTATCATCACCGTCTTATCACGTCGGCACCATCACCAGCATCAATACCATTTAGCACCCCCGCCAGCGTCGCCATGGCCAACACCGTGACCATGACCATCGCCACACCCATACCCGCCATCACCATTAGCCTTACTGTCACCGTTACCAGCCACTTCACCACCACCACCGCTCTGATCGTCACAGGCATCTCCATCCTCGACCTGAACCTTGTGCGTGCCAGCAGCTTCTCTCCTTATTTGCCTGATGGTGTTTCAGACAGAGGGTCCTATGTCCACAAAACACACCTTCCGAGGGGCAGAACGAAGCCTGGGCTATTTCCCCACCAATCGCAGCAGCTGGAGCCACCGCACACTGGCTCCCCAGGCGCACTGGTGGAGGGCCCCTGGCTCCACCGGATTTGGGGCTTCTGTATCTGGGGCAGCTGCTCCTTTGTGTTGAGTGGACTTCTGCAGGAGAGCCCCTGGGCTTCCCTCGGCCCTCTCAGTCAAACACCTTTTGATGTCCCCTTTCTTTAAGAATAGATGTCAACTTCGTTGGAATGGCTGAATTAGGACTAGCGCTTTGCTCTGTGGGCGGATTCCTCCTCTGTAATATGAAGTCCGTTTCTTACCCTCAACCTGCCGTAAGCCCTCCTTATGACAAGAAAGCGAGACTTGAAAAGCAGGTCTCCAGTAGGTCAGGGCTGCTTCCAGACTATTCATGCAAAACTCATTACCACTGAGTCGATTCCAGGTCACAGTGACCCCACAGGACAGAGCAGCACTGCCCCTATGGGTTTCTGAGCCGGGATCTCTTTATGGGAGTAGAAAGCCTCATCTTTCTCCCTTAGAGAGGCTGGAGGCTTTGAACTGCTGACCTTGTGGCTAGGAGCCCAATGCATAAATAACCACTACGCCACCTGGGCTCCTACAATTCATGCAAGCCAGAAGCAAATAGAACTGTACCAGCTGTTCTTATAGACAAATGAGAATACCGCCCCCCCTTCACCCTCCCCCCACACACACACGTGCGTGCTCTCCTTGGACCCGTGGGCTCACCCTGCCGACCTTACCTGTTGCTTCTGGCTGCCAGCTCTTCCCTCATCTTCCTAATATCGCGTTTGCATTTCTCAATCTCCACCACCTTGAGGCCTTCCACTGGCAATGAAGAAAAGCAGGGAGCTGGTTATTGTGTGCAGACATGGAGGGCCCTGCAAGGCTGGTACTTCGGGGCTAGCTGGTGGCTCAACACATCCTGGGAGGGGACCTGGTGTCGAGCAATGGTGCCCACTCCTGCCCAGGATTCACCCCGTCAGCTCAGTGAGGGCAGTCAGTGTCGCCGGGGTCCTGGCCACTTAAGAACTGCTGCATCCTTCCCTCCGCGCAGTTTCTGCAGCCTTCAACCCTCTCCTCCTCCCGGGATTCTGTCTTGCACCCACTTCCTGCCTCCTCCCTCTTACCCCAGTGCCAACCGAGGACGTGGGACAAAGAAGCCTTTTATCCCAAGGAAAGAAAAGAGAGGGGTGGGCGTGTATGTGGCCACACTGCAAATTAAAATCAGTGGCAGGGTCTGAAAAGCTTTAAATCTTCCCAGCAAAGATTAAAATCTCACGAAGAGAAAGTGGGTCACTGAAAGGCCCCCCACACTGAGAACCGTTAATCAAGAGACACAGTTGGCGTAGCATCCAATAGGCATAAACCGGTCACGGTCACCTAGGGTTGGCAACATTCTGGGGGCCCCACGGCCCTCAAGTCATGTTCTTACTGCCCTTGTGGTTCATAACCCCAGTGGGAACCAAACTTCTAGACATTCACTCGGTGCATTTATTTAGCCCAGGAACACTGCCAAGAGGTAAGCACTTTGGAAAGATCTTTAGCTTCGGCGTCTGTTCCCATGTCATAAAAAAGATGAATCTAATACTTATGTTTTTGGTAATCACACCTCCATTTTTATGCAAAAGATGTGACCCACGATGTCACTCTATTCCCCCTTGCACTAAGCTTGGCTCCGAATCACTGCTAAAAATATAACGTGAAGAGTCTCTGTAGAAAATCAAAGCAACCCAATGGCAGTTGACGGATTCCAGCAACCATCCCCCCCCCCCTCCCCGCGAGGAGCGGTGGCCAGCTCTGCGCATGTCCGGGAGAGCGGCTCTCCCAGCTTGGGGCCCTTCAGCATCTCTCGTGGCTGGGGTCAAGCTGGGAACAGGGTGCGGCACTTCTTTCCACCCCACGTGATGAAGACTCTGAGTGGGGAGTCTGGGGTTGGGAGCTGGGTCTGGAGGGCGTGGCCCCGGGCCACAGAGGCTCTGTCTGTGCCCACGTGGGAGCCCCTGGCCACTCTCCTCACCAGGACGGTTGCAGGGCACGGGGCTGTGATGGGTTGGATTTCATTCCCTCCAAAGTGATATCCCATTCCTCACTCCCACGCCGGCGAGCGAGACATGGTGTGGAAGCAGGGTCTTTGACGGTCTTTGAGAAGCCGTGTTGGAGCAGCTGCTGTTTGTGGCTGTTGAGTTGAGACACAGCTGGTCCCCACGGTCCTTGTTGATACGCTGGAGTTCATACTGGAGTAGGGTGGGTCCGAAACCTAATCCCTTGTGAGTGCTGTCTTCAGAATAAGAAGATCGGGACAGATGAGGAGAGGGGCATGCATCCCGTGGAGACCAAGGAGCCCAGGGCTGCCTGCAGGGAGCGGTAAAAAAGGGCTCCTCCCCCTGGCGTCAGTGGCCTGATTGGGACCTCTTGCTTCCGGAACGGTGAGAAAATGCACCTGTTTTTCAAAACCATCCCCTTGTGGGATCGTGTGTTATCTATAGCTCCCTCAGGTTGCTGTTGGTGCCGTCGAATCGATTCTGACTCATAGCGACCCCAGATGACAGAGCAGAGTGGCTCCCTCAGGTTTTTGAGGCTGTAATCTTTATGGGAAGGAGAGTCCAGGTGCTTGAATTGTAGTTCTGGCGAAGAATACGGAAAGTACCATGACCGCTTGAGTTAGTTAATTTTGCCAGCCTGGCCGATAATCACATGTGGTGCTGGTTGAAAGGGGGAGGGATAAATGGGTGGTGAAGCCTCGCCTTTCGAGTTCTCGGGTCTCTTGTTTTGTGATGGTTGTATCGGGTGCAGCTGCCTTAGCAGTTCCCTGCTTCAGCTTGCAAGATTGACTTCCTCCAAGACATCCCCAAGGAGAAGCCGCATGGATCTATCCTGATGCAGCCCTGGGTGCTGGAGCAGCCGTGTGGAGACCCTTGCCAGTGCTGAGATGCTTACATGTTCATGGACTCAGCTTTCCTCCTGCAGTCGGCATCATTGCCTCTGTTTTGTGAGGTGGAAGACTTTGTGGACTGGTGTTGGGTTAATGGGTTAATGTTGGACTTGTGGGCTTGGGCAGCATTGGGTTGGGATGTTTTTGTGATGCACCTTTTCTTTACATAAAACTCTCTCTTATACGTGAGTCGCCGTGGATTTGTTTCTCCAAAGTACCTAGACTTATACACCGCTAAAAGGACGACCGGTCTGTCCTGAAAGAAGTGTGGCCAGAGCACTCCTTAGAGACCAGGATGGCGAGACTTTGTCTCACATTCTTTGGACATGTTGTCAGGAGAGACCGGTCCCCGGAGAAGGACATCATGCTTGGCAAAGTCAAGGGGCAGCGAAAGAGAGGAAGACCCTCAAGGAGATGGACGGACACTGTGGCTGCCTCAGTGTGCTCGGGCACAGGGATCATGGTGAGGGTGGTACAGGACAGGGCAGTGTTGAGCACAGGGTTGCAATGGGTTGCAACCTAAGCACACCTGATGGCACCTAACCACAACAGCGGGCTTTGTGGAAGCAGATCACCGAGAGGAGGCTCTGGGGGAGCAGCTGGGCAGGTGGGTCCCCCAAGATTTTAGTTAGCAGCTGCATGCTCAGCTGTTGCTCCACCAGGGCTCTTCAGGAAACTAATCTGGAGACCAAACCCACGGGGCATGTGTGGGGGCCAGGATGGTACAGCCCTAGTGGCCACCGGCTGCTCTGCTCCTGCGGGGGCACCGTCAGTTGGAGAACGTGGCGATCATGAGGTTCCTACCTGCTCCTTCCTTGGTGGCTCGCTAAGAGGCCACCACCCACAAGCCAGTGTCCTGGCAGGGCATGTGTGCTGCTGGTAGTGATGCCCCCAGTACTTCACATCTCAGCAGGGTCAGCCAGTGGGGACAGGCTTCAGTGGAAGCTTCCAACCAACAGAATGTCGTAGACAGGCCTGATGATCGACTTCGGAAGGTTGGCCCAGGAACACCCGACAGATCGCAGCAGAGCAGTGGGGCATCTGGTGCTGGGAGATGCCCTCCCCTCCCCCTCCCTGGTGGGAAGGCACTCAACAGGCAGCGTGATTGCACAGCAACTGAGGTAAGCATAGCCAAGGCAGTGCTTGGCTCTGTTGTTCTCAGGTTACTGTGACTCAGAGCCAACTTGACGGTAACCCGCCAAGAGTGCACACCCTCCTTGGAAAGCAGGAGTGGCCAGTGCTTCCTTGGATCAGGGACCCCTTTCAGAAGTTGATGCATGCCAACAGCGGCCTTCTGAGGAAAAGCACATAGCACACACCCCTGCAGTTTGCATCTGGGTCTCCAGAAGCTAGGTGGGGGTGGGGGGTAGGGGGGTGGGAGGTGTGTGTGTCTCTGGGGCATTCCTGGGATGCGCTAGAGCCCAGCGGTTCTTAACCTGTGGATCGCGACCCCTTTGGGGGTTGAACAACCCTTTCACAGGGGTCGCCCAACTCATCACAGTGGCAAAATGACAGTGATGAAGTAGCAACAAAATAATGTTATGGCTGGGGGTCACCACCACGTGAGGAACTGTCTGAAAGGGTCACGGCATGAGGAAGGTGGAGAACCACTGCGCTAGACTCACTTGCTCACCCACTCAACAGATGCCAAGGTGGGGTCTACCAGGAGCTGAGCGCATGCATGCACATTCAAACGTCCGTAGCGAGAAGGCGCTCAATCTTGTTGACACACGAGGGCAGAGTATTCCAGAAAGAGAGTGGACTTGGTGCTCCGTGCGGGCCATGTTGGGTGGACTCTCACCTGGACACTGACTGGGCCGGGGAAGAGACTGGGGCATGGAGCATAGACTCTGGGCTGCGGAGCTGTGCCTGGTCATTCCCAGATCCAGGGTTCAATGAACTAGGTTTCAAATATATATTTCCTGGACATAAGCTATAGAACCAACCGATGTGGACAGTACAGGAAATGGAAGCACAGCGCCTCTGTAGACTGACTTACGAAAATAACCCTGTGTGTATCATCCCAGCTTTCTGCCCTCTTCCTGAGTGTCCACTCCTCTGTGGCCATTCACCCAACCTTAATTTTCACAGGCCAAGGGTGAGATCATGTGGCCTGCTGTGCTTCACAGCAAGGCACAGCCATCCCCCCTGTCAGCAGATGGCCACTCTCCTGGCTCGTGGGTTTTGATGCGTGCATGAGCATGCGGTCTGCCTCTCTCCACCCTGAGCCCCATTGAGATCCGCTTCTCTGGTCATTCACCGAGAGACGTTGAATCCCGTTTATATCGTGCACTATCACTGCTGGGGCCCCCGAGATTCGGAATCTACGGTCATTATGCGTATGAAGGGACCACTCGCTAAGGACGTGGGGGGTGAGTAATAAGATGGCAGATGCTGTGCATTAATTGACAGGGGAGATAGTCAACATGCCATGGGCTGACGGAGCTGGGCGGGAACGAGGGTGGGGGAGGGGGTGGTAAGTCACTGCACTGTAGATTCAGGCCTGGTCCTTCCCTGGACTTTAGCTGCCTCTCAGAATGTCCCACCGCTCTCTCATAGCATCATGCCAGCCAACCCCCCTCGTCCGGAGGAAAGAGAATGGCAATGCCAGGAGCTGGGCTCTGGGCATAGTCATGTCACTCAAACCCAAACCCAAGCCGTTCTGACGCAGGGCAACACTATAGGACAGAGCAGACCCCCCTGGTAGATTCCCAGACAGTAATGCTTGCTGGGAGTAGAAAACCTCATCTTTCTCCCATGGGGCAGCTGGTGGTTCCAACTGCGGACCTTGCTGCTGTTAGCAGCCCAATGCCTAGGCCACCACACCACCAGGGCTCCTAGTCAAGTCAATAGAGGGGTGTAAAGAGTGCCGATCACACTGGGTCACACTGTC